ACCCCCTCACCTCATCGACGTCATCATCCCTCTCAACACCATCAGGCTTCGACCCACGCACAAAGAACCCACAACGCATACTAAACACACACATGTGCACACACAGATCCCTCCCTCCCTCCCTCCCTCCTTCCCTCCCTTGTCAGTGCCCGCCCCGCCACACACACTCTTACTTACATGGATCCGCCTGTGGCCTGTTTCTCCCTGTTGACCGTCATGACAGCCGCAGGAGCCTTGCCGCTAGGCACAGGTTTGGGGCCGCCGGACAGTGACAGCGGCGCGAGGCCCTGCCGGGCCTTGTCCCGTCCTCCTGAGGCGAAGGGGTCCTCGTCAAAAGAGACCTGCATGTAGTTGTGGGTCCATAGGTCGGGGTGGGGCAGCACCCGGAGGATCTGCACGGGCGGGTTGGCGCGCAGACTCTTGCTCCCTGGACACGTGAACTGATGGACGGCAACACATCACATTGGATGGATGGATGGATGGATGGATGGATGGTGACGGTGACGGTGTGGTGCTGACGCACTCACCATGGCGGGGCTGACATTGAAGGTCTTGAGCACACGATCAACATAGGACTCCTTCGCTTTGGTCCCCTCCGGCTGCTTGACCTCAATCGGCACGGGCGAAGGCGACGGCGACCGCGGCCTCTCCCGTTCGATCCACGGCGGCGGGGACGGCAGCATGAGGGGCGACTTGGGCGCCTTGCCCGCTGCTGCTGCAGCTGCTGGCTTGAGCCTCTTGCTGGGCGGCAGCAGCTGATCAATGACCGAGTCGTCGAAGTACATGAGCGACTGGTCCTTGGGGTGCAGCGGCAGCACACGGTTGTGCCCATCTGGGAACGAACAGACAGACAACGATGGACGGATGGATGTGCTGTGTCGGAGTGGTTACCTCCTCTTCTCTGGTAAGGTCTTGTGCCGAGGCCTTCATCCATGACGCGCATCCGCTTCAGGTCCACCCTCCCACCGCTGGCCAGGCCGCCCTCCACACCGAGATGGACCAAATGACGCGGGATATCACCTGCACCGATGGCATGCATCACACACGTACAGGCCATACAGAGACTCACTCTGATCTACAGCTCTGTCTGCTTCGACATGCACTCACCGGCGGATCCCTGGCTCTCTCCCCATCTGACAGCGCCGAAGACCAGCTCGTGAGGCGTCTGCAGCATCTTGGGCAGGTGAGGCGGCAAGGGCACCTCGTGGACAAACTGACGGTCGCACAGGAAACCCGACTTGGTCTCGGTGAAGTACATCAGGCCGTGCGCAGGGTCCGTGGCGGCAGCGGCAGCTGCCATGGCCGCCTTGCTGCCGCCGGCCTGCCGGCCTGAGCCTGAGGGATTCGTGCCTCCTCGAGGAGGAGGTGGATACGACGACATTGCTGCCTCCTTTCAACCACTTTGGACAGACAGACAGACAGAACCGCAGAGCCGGGAGGAGGATGTCAGATCTGCTCTCTAAGCTCGCAAAAGATGGCCGACTGGCATTCACGCTGGTGAGAAGCTGACAGTCTATTGCATGCCGGCAGAAAGAGATCTCATCCATCGACCATCGACCATCGAATCTCAATGGATCTGCTGCGCCCCTCCTCCCGCCGGCTCATACAGATCCCGTTGCCGCCGCCTCCCTTCAAGAGGTGCAGAAGATGCCACATCAGCACCACCGCCGCAAGAACCCAGCAGCAGCAGCCACATGTACATGCAGCCGCAACTTCGGCCACTGCTGCAGGTTATGACGAGGCCACCTCGGTGTTCGATGCAGTCAAGACGGCTGCAACCGTGGTGCACCAGCAGCAGCAGCATGGAGAGCAGCGCGACGAGGCAGTGAACCTGGCTCGGCAGTATGGCACTCCGAAAGATCTCGTGCTGCAGGTCATCCACACAGGTCAGTCAGGTGTGAATCGACCGACATACACACACGACAGGCAATCGATGGGCTGTCTTTCTTGTCTGCAGGCAAGGCGGGCATCCGCGAGGAGGCCGTGTGGCAGGATCTGTCGGTGCGTATGGTGCGGACGCTGGCCCGCTTCAGTGGGCACGAGTTGAGTCTGCTCCTGCATGGCATGGCGCTGGGCGGCTACCATGACCCGCTGCTGCTCAAGGCCATCAGTGAAGGCCTCTACTGGGCCGCAGAGATACGGAAACGTACCCAGGAATCCCTCACTGCACAGTGCACAGCACAGTGCACCACACGCAGAACGATGGCCGTTGTGTGCGCATGTCCGTGTGTGTGTGTGTGTGGTTGATTCAGTGTCCCTGCCGTCATTGTGTCTGGCGCTTCAGTCGTTTCGTCGGCTGCGCTACTGTCCCGCGCCGGGCCATCTGAGTGCGCTGCTGGTCCACCTGCACCGGCAGGAAGAGGACGTCAGGCCAAAAGACTGGGTCTTCATTCTCAGATTCATGGTGAGGCCGGACATCACCCACACCCACACCCACACCCACCCACCCCCCCACACACACACAGAGAGAGAGAGTGTGTCTGTGTTTTGTGGATGGATGGATGGATGGATGGCATGCACTCGTGTGTGTGTGTCAGGTGGAGTTCAAGCTGACGGACTACAGTGCTCTCCTCGCCCCCAGGCCTCTGCGCTCAACCAGACACCACCACCACCAGCACCAGGATCGTCAGCGGCAGGATGAGCAGGTGTCGGTGCGGGAGGGCCATCAGCGAGCGGTGAGGACGTGTGTATTCGACGCCTGGGAGAAGAGCCACGTGGCGCTCGGACGGCTCAAGCCGTTTGAGCTCGTCTCGCTGTGCAAGGTCTATGCCGACCTGGGCGCACAGGACACGTAAGGACGCGAGACGAGATAACGCGCCAAGCCAACCATGTGTGTGAGGGAAGGGAGAAGGTGTGTGTGTGCCTGGTCTGGTCTGGTCTGAGTGTGTGTGTGCAGGTGGTTGTACGAGCGTGTGTGCAACAACTTGTTGCGGCACCGGCAGCGGCTGTCCACGCCTGTGCTGCTGTACTGCGCCAATGTCATCCTGCAGGCCGACCTCCAGACACCGCCCACTTCACTGATAATGGTGGGTGTGGTGTGGTCTGCCTGCTCGTGTGCGTGCTGTATCGCTCTGTGTGTGTGTGTGTGTTGGTCCATCCCATCCATCCATTCAGCTGTTGCGTCAGCACACTGAGGAGCATCTCGCGAGCCTTTTGCCCAGACAGGTCACCTTCCTTCTCATGTGAGTGCGCACACCACATACACATACACACATACGTCAGCTGTCGCTGACTGCCTGCCTGTGTCAGTCCACCAATCAGCCGTCTGTTCTTTGTCTGTTCGGTCAGTGTGCTTCGGCAATTTCGTTGGCGCGACCCTCCGATGCTCAGCAAGCTGGGCAAGGCCGTGCAGGCCATCCCGGAGCAGTTCACGCCGCAAGAGGTGGGTGACTGGTGCCTAATGGCAAACAGAGGGGGAGTTGACCGATCGATCGGCCTCTGGTGTGTGGGTGGGGTGGGTGCATCAGTTGTCGTCGGTGGTGTTGTCGTTCGCCAAGCTGCGGTACAAACACAAGACCCTCTTCAAGTTCCTCATCTACCACCTCTCCAGAGAGCTAGGGCCAGGTCAGGAACGGACCTAGCCCGCTCTCTCTCAGCGCTCTCTCTGTAGTTAGTTTGTGTGTGTGTGTGTGTGTCTGTGTGTGTGTGTGTGTGTGGCAGATTCCAGCCCGTTCAGGTCTCTCTTCCAGCCACCCACCCCCTCTCCCTCTCCCTCGCCCCTTCGCCAAGCAGCAGCCACAGGCGCCACGCTCTCCCCTGGTGTCGTCACCGCATTCTACGTCGCCTGCGCGCAGCTGGGGCTGAGGGACCACCACTTCCTGTCATTCCTCTCGTCCAGGATGGCAACGGCGGCCGCCGAAAGTGGCCCGGCTGGAGAAGAGGACAACGACCTGAGAGAGGCGAGCTCGCTCACCCAGCCGAGGGTTAGGAGAGAGGAGGGGAGGGCGGCGAGAGGGAGAAACGGTGCCGCTGGTGCTGGTGCTGGTATGGCTGTCGCGCCCCCGCCGGTGTCTCTTTTCCCGTTCTTCCCGTCTGCCGCTGCACAGGCGGTGATGCAGCCGGCCGTGCCAAAGCGCCCCACACACGGCAAGTGGAGGATAGACCTAAACGGGCTGGAAATGAGAGCGCTGCAGCAGCATCCCGACGGCGACAGCCAGCAGGCTGAGACGGAGATGCAGGATGGGACATCGTTTGTGGCGGAGACAGAGAGGGAGAGGGACGAGGCGACGCTTCTGATCGAGCCTGACCAGCTGGCGGCCATTCTGGAGATCGAGCAGTCACTCGCCGCGACTGGCGACGACGATGCCAACGCAAACCAACAGCCCGCCGACCCCACCAGCGCCCCCAAAGTGGCCAGCACCCTTGACCGCCTTCCGTCGACCTCCTACCCTCCCCCTGCTGTCACCTTCCCCGCCCTGCCTCATGACGGCCGTGATGAGGACGAGCCCTTGACCGAAACAACACCCAAGGAGGAAGCTTCTTCTCTCGTCGTGTATCCGAAGGCCCGCGATCGGTCTCCAATGGTGCCTCCTGATGGACGGCGAGACCTTGTGGGCGGAGGAGGGGGCAAGGTGACAATCATGGGTCGAGATGTGGACAGACGTGTGGCAGGCGGGGCGGTGGTCTTGGGGGAGGGCAGGGTGAGCAGGGGCGGCACCGTCATGAGGGCGAGGGCGTTTGTGCCAAGCACGGCACACGTGCTGAGGACCCTCACCGCCGCACAGGCGCGTCTGTTCCACGATGAGATGCTCTTCTTCCCCTGCGGCCACCCCGCCCAGCGACGTCTCGCCAGCCGCCGGAGAGCACGGGCACTCCTCTCACCCTCACCCTCAACCACAGACCCCGACGCCGCCCCAACCGTCGCCAAAGTCACCCTCCCCCCTCACGCAAAGGCACTGCTGGAACAGAGGCGGCGAGAGGCTGGGCTGTGGAGTGAGACGGTCGGCGGCCGCATGGGCATCGGTGACGACAAGAAGGGGGGTGAGAGGGGGAGGGTGCTGGACGTGCATCCGCGGGAGGTGAGGGATGGGAGGAAGAGGGAGGGGCGGAAGGGGGATGAGTACCGGCGCGCCAAGAGGCTCAGGGAGCTGGGGCTCAAGAGGAAAATCATCGAGGTAGGCCAGGCCGGTCGATCAGCCAACCAAGCGCAGCGCGTGTCTGGCCGCATACACCCGTTCGTCTCTGTCTTTCAGAGCTCGGACTGGTTCATCCAGCTGTGGCGCGACCTTCGTCGGCTCTTCCTCCTGCCCTTCAAGCGCCTGCCCCCCTCCGCCCTTGCCGGCTCATTCGTCGACCACTCTTCAGCCATCCTCTATGAGCAGCACCCACTCTTCCCACCCCTGCACCCAATCTCACCATCCTCACCACCGAAGAGACGCGGACGTTTCCGCGCCCGCAGCAGCTCCAGGAAGCTCTGGCGGACCCTCAAACGCATCAGGACACATAAAGCGGCCACCGTCGATTGCGAGGAGGCGGTCTCGTCATCAGCGAGACCCGAGCGACCGGAACCATCAAGACGGCAGCCAGTGCCAGCACCGAGGCTGTCATTGGGTCTGGGCAGCATGGCAGCGATCTTTGATGCGTGTCGGCGGCTGAGCTACCGGACGGGCCCGTTCTTGCGGCTGCTGGCGGACAACAGCGTAGAGGTTTTGCGGGCCAGGGAGGAGGGTGAGGGTGTGGGTGGGGTGAAGGCTGAGAGGGAGTTGGGTGCGCTGAATGAGGTGGCTGAGGCGGTGTTGGCCCTGCACCTGCCCGAGTGCGCGGAGCCGCTCATCAAGTGCTACAGGTACGTCGATGCTCAGACAGGGACTTATGTATGCATCAGGAGCGAACGCGATGCGTGTCTGTCTGTCTGTCTGTTTGTGTGTCTGTCTGTCTGTTTGTTTGTTTGTCAGCTCGACTTACATCATGGCGTTGCTGTCGACCCCCCACCACCACCTCCCGTCGCCCCACTCCCTCTCTCACCATGCGGCCGCCTTTACCCACGCCGCGCACCTGTTCCTTCTGCAGCCATCCGCTGCCGCATCCCCACCACCTACGCCTCTGTTCGCCGCCCTCACCGCCCAGCTCACCCGCATCCTTCACTCCAAGGAGGCGGCGCCCCACTCCCTGCCACTTGACCAGGTGGGGCAACTGCTGGACGCGGCGCGTATGCTCTCGTCTTCTTCGGCCATAATAAGCAGTGACATGGACCTGCCGAGAGGCCTCCGGCGGCTCCGGGCGTGTCTCCGGCAGGAGATCCGGCGCAGGCTGCTCGTCAACCAGAACGATATGCCGTCGTCGGCCCACCCCTCTCTCTTCTCTCAGTCGGAAGAAGACGATTCACCTTTGCCTTTGCTGAAGACATCTTCATCAGTGGAGCAGTTTCAGGATGTGTTGGATGAGGTGCGGAGTGCGGCCAGTGGGGAGACGAGGAGTGCGTGGGAGGGGGCGCTGGTGGCCCTGGCGAGGGACGTGCAGGAGAGGCAGGGGGAGAGGGGGGAGGGGAAAGGTGTGCCTGCAGAGGTGAGGGAGCTGGGGCGGCGGATGGGCATTGCACCAAGGAGGATAGAGAAGCTGATCGGAGGCCGGGAGGGGAGGGTGTGAGTGAGTGAATGAGTATGTTGGTATGGTGTGTGAATAAGAGACGTCTGGACAGTCTGGACATTGATTGTGTCGCGTCGTGTGTTGAGGAAGGTGGCTAGACCACAGCTGTGGTCGTGGACGTTAAGTGTGTCACCGACAATGTCCGTGTGGAGCGCCTGAATGAAATCAAAAGACAAAGGAAACGAAAGGTCCACACCGCATCTGTCCATCATGCATATGCAAACGGCACACAGACAGACAGACGGGCGATAAAAAAAAGCCCAAAGCACACGCGTCCATTCCATCTCAAAAGCCAACCAATGGCGAGCACCCCGTGTGGCGTCTGTGTGTGTGTGTGTGTTGTTACCTACCCTTATGCATGACCCACGTGGTCGGTGGTTCAAAAACTGCCGAGATGAGTTGTGTGGTGTGAGCCATCCCGTGGATGCGTCTACGACTATCTGTGTTGTCTGTGCTGCCTGTCCTGTCTTCACACGAGGGGCAGACAGACAGACAGACAGACAGAAAGAGAGGGAGATAGCGGCACACCAATGGCACCACACCATATCACACACACACACACACACAACACACAACACACACACGTACCGCCAAGGATGGAGGGATGGATCGACGTGATGTGTGTCTGTGTAATGTGGGTGTGGGTATGCTTATGCAGGCGGGCACAGACAGACAGACGGACGGACGGACAGACAGACAGACACTCGCACACGCGCACAGAGCACCCAGTCACACAACACTCCAATGTGTCTGTTTAGCAGGCCCAGCCGTGCCGTGGTTACATTTGTACCACACCTTGAACTTCTTCCCCTCCAAGTCCACCTCGCAGTATTTGCCGCTAATGTCCCAGCCCCTCTTGCCGAAGATGACGTTGTTGGCGTCCGTCACCTGCACATGACCGCTTGCTGTGTGTGAAAGGCATTGCTCGCTGTCAAGGACACTCGACTCCCTACCTCGTAGCCGAATTTCGAGTGGCCAGACTTGGTAAGTATGTGGAGACTGCCGAACACCCACGGCTTGAACTTGTCTGCACGCAGCAATTGGTAAGTATGAGTAATAAATAGGCACGTAAGCTGCCGACGTCATGCTCGTACCCACTTCGTAAACACAGCAGTCGTAAAGGTCAGAGGGAGAGCACTTCTTGACGCCTTCCTCGGGAAACTTGCCGGTGGTTATGGGCCCCGACCACCGGGTGATGAAGTCACCCTTATAAATGGGGTGTGGCGCCAATTTCCCCTCTTGATACTTAATCGCGGTGGGTGTCGAGTCTGCTTTCACGTAGCACTTATTGCCCCCTGACATGGACAAAGGCAGACATCCATCCGTCTATTGCACGTCTCCCTTGCTTACGCGCCGTCGCACGCTCTTCTATTTTGGACCTGCAGGCAAACAGGCAAGAGAAGCGCACAAGGAATTGTCTTCAGGGCATTTGTCTGTCCCGCCCGTGTGTGTGTCTATGAATGCGTCCACTGGCCAGCTGTTCTCTCTGTCATTCGATGACCGCACAGGCCAGCAGGAAGCGTGGGAGAGTGCTTCTAGCTACATACCGAGGTGTGTTGCCGATGATGTGCTCTATCCTGTTGATGGCCTCGATGGCGGCCTCGCCTGTGGCCATGTTGGACTCGTGCAGGGCAATGGCGAGTGCATCATGCCCTTAGCGCTGGCCAGCTGCAGCTGAACCAACGACAAATCACCTGCACACACATTCACGCACCAAACGCGTAGATGTCATCCATGCATTGTGTGCGTCAGATTCGCACCCACCCACCAGTGTTGTTGGCGAGGCCTTTGGTGCCCTCTACGTCGCGTTGGGCCGTCCACACCTCCCCGCCTGCGGCACACAAAGCAGATGCAACGATCCATGGACAGATCTGCCACGATTTATGGTCCGTTTGGTGTGTGTGTGTCCTCCCTGTGCTTACCTCGGTCATCGGTGCGCTTGGCCGCCATGAGAGGCTGCACAGCGGCCAGCCAGACCACCAGGATGAGACCCATGAGGCCGAAACGCTGCGTCACCATCATCGCCAACGGCTCAGCAAACGTCGCAGACGATGTGCTCACTCGGCGGGAAGAAAAAAACTGGTGGTGGTTAAGGGTAAAAGATCAACTGGGGAGGGGTCCTGGCCGGAAATTTCTAGGTCAGCCACACCATGTCCGAAATACCAGCGGCCTTTGCGGTGGGGAAACCTGCTCGGAACACCTGCGAGCTTCGCCGAGGCATCTGAAGAGCTTACTGGGCTGACTTGGCAGGTGAAGAGCCTCTTCCGCTCAGATCTGCCTCTGAGGGCTGAAACAAGCGGCAGCTCATCTGTCCAGTCCGCCAAAACAAATGCCGCCAAGATCGTTCGTCTGATCAACTTCTTCCCGCACCAAGATGTGATTCTCACGCTGACGACACCGAGGGACATCCCTGGCCCTCCTGTGGACATCAACGAGCTCAAGTCCATCGTTCTTCGGCGAATCAAGAGGCAATGGTGCCCGTCAGACATCGACTACCGCCTGCATGAGATAGGGATGGGCTTCCTCTGACTCATTGTCCCTCCATCAGTCAGTGGACACTCGAGATGCGTGTGCTGCAGGTGCGGTGTGTCGAATCTGTGTTTCTGCGGCTGGATGGACTGAGTCGAACACATTCTGACTGCCTGATGGAGTGTCGATGAGGCGCACAGACATGAGTGTGAGTGTGTCTTTCGGGTTGATCGTGCGTTTTGAGCGTTGCGTGTGTGTGTGCTGACGCAAGGTGACCAGGTCGCTGACAACGGACATGAGTGTTGATGAATGTGTCATCTCACGCATGCAGCTTGACGCACGCAACATCCATTCAATCAACGCGATGGTCCAATCGACGCATGCAACACGCACGCCTCAGTCAGTGGAGGAGGAACTCGCGAATCGCGGAACAGGCCAGGCGGGCCATGTCATCGGGTGTGGGTGTGAGTGTGCGTGTGCGTGTGACTGTGAGCTGTATCGCATCACCGGACCGGTCCTTCTGACATTTGCATATGCAGTTGTCAGAAGGACGCCCTATTGATTGCGCCGTCTTGCGTTGGTTGCACACGACACCCCATGGTCCGTCCCACGTCCGTCCGTCCGTCAACTACATCGCCTTATCCAACCCATCCAAAGTCATGTGTCTGTCGTCAGGTCTCCATCCCACTCAGGAGGCTCCACAGCCAGCAGCCGCTTCGCAACCCCACCCCCTCTCCTCCCACTACCCACGACACCACCCGCCAACGCTCGAGGCACCGCAGCCATGCCCATGGTCCTTGTCAGCACCTTTTCCTCCTCACACAGCACCAAGTCCTGCATGTCCACCATCAGCGCATCGCCGTCACTCTTCGACCAGCTCCGTGTGGCTGTCCGCGCCACCGCCTCTTTGGCCGCCTCCCGGATGTCCGCCTCGCTGCTGAGAGTGAGGAGGTCGGCTGCAGCGCGCCTGACGGACGGGTGGCCGTGCACCAGCAGGGCCTGCAGATGCCAGTACACCGAGACACCGCCCGACAAGCTGCATGGTTTGGCAGACAGACACACATGATTGGTATACCGTCGAGGATTGCAGGCCATGTGTGTGGTCATTTTCTCACCTGGAGATGACGGCTCCGTCCGGGTCGACCATCGACTTGAGTCGGGGCATCTTGAGAAGCATCAACTTGACCCGCTCGCACAGCCCCGCGCTGACGGCACTGTCGCAGTGCAGTGCCACATCCATGATGCCCTCCACCACACGCAGAAGCGACATGGACGTGCCGCCGGTGCCCATGCCGCCCCCTCCCACTATCTGCGGACACCGCACCATCAGGTCGATCGACTCAATCAGCTCGCGACCGAGAGACGTGCTGACGGCAAACACGGCCGGGGCGTCTGGATCGGCCGTCAGTGTCTCGTCCTCTTGGTGCAAGGGGGCGGCTGCCAGGAAGGATGCTGGGGCGTTGGGGGGTGTGCTGATGGGGTCGTAGGATGGAGTGGACAGGTGTGGAAGGGCCAGCCGGAGAATCCGGCAGAAGCCATCCACAACCCACGACACCTCTATCTGCCACACACAGGAGGGAGGGCACGTTCGAACAACACAGAATGAGCTCAGTGCAGTGGGTAGATAACAAACATTGTCTGCCTTGTTGTCTGCCTGCTAGTTGATTCATTGATCAATCACCTGAATGGCGGCTCCCACCCCCTGCAGCAACAGCAACGCTGCGGCAACGGCCCTCAGGCCGACCTCTGCACTCGCCGTGGCGCCCTCCCCCTCTGAGATCAGCCTCTTGAGCTCAGTGAATATCTCGTTCATGAGCTCGACGTTGATGAAGTGGGAGTGGCACCCCAGGCCCCTCAGACAGCCGCTCACCACCTCATCGGGATACATGTGGGGCGACCGCAGCACCCGCAGATAGAGGACGAACAGCTGCTCCAGCACCAGGGCCTCGTTCTTCCTGAAACGCTTCAGGTCACCGTGCACCGACCTGCACGGGTACAACAACATCGATCGCACCATATGCCAGCTCGTGTCAGCATCTCACTCACCCGATCATCAGGTCTCTCCTGAGGTCCTCGTCGATGCCCTCATCGTCAGCCCCCACAGCGTGGCTCTCCCTCTCAGCCGCCATCTGCTTCCTCCGCAAATCAAGCCTTGCTATCGCGTCCAGCAGCGCCTTGGACAGCCCAGACCTCTTGCCGCCAGTGCTGCTGCTCATGCCCACCTTGGCCAGCCGCCCCATGGCCTTGACGATCGACGCCGTGAGGTCCAGAGAGGGGTCATGCTGCATCACCCAACTGAGGGCATCGATGGCCGGCAGCTGCACGGGCGGGTCGGGCTTGCCTGCGTACTTGACGCACAGGTCGATAAGGTCATCGGTCCAGTTGAAGGAAGGGTTGGCGGTGAGCAGCTCGCTCACCAGGGAGGCGGCGGTTCTGGGCGGAGGGGGCGAGTGCCGCAGTATGTCGATGAACTGCTGCGAGAACCTGACCATCGTCTTCTCGTGTGTCTGCAGCTTCTCCACCGCTCGCGACAAGGCCTGGTGGCCCGGCTTGCTGTCATTCTCCTCGCCTCTCATCTGCACCCGATAGGCTGGCAGGATGTCCTTGAGCACCAGGCCAATCGACACGAGAGCCACCTGCTTCAAAGCCGGCACCTTCTCGCGATGAAACAGGCGGAAGAGCACCTCCAGCCGCGGCAGCTCCTTCTCAGGGCTCGCCAGAATGGCATTGCTGACCCTCGCTATCTCCAGCTTCTTTTGCTCTGCGGTCTGCAGCTTGTTGACCAAGACGTCTATGTCGTCCTTCTTGTCAGCCGCTTGCTGGGCGCTCTTCGCTTTGGCCTTCCTCGCCATCGCCTCCTCAGCCTCCTTGCGCAGCCGCTCCAGCCGCTTCTGCTGCTTCTTCGACAGAGGTGATGACTCATTGTCTTTGTCAATGTCGTGATCGGCACTTGGCTCCTTTGCTGCGGCAGCGATGCCGTCCTCTTGCTTGAGCGGCAGTCGTGTGAGGCGGCGTTCCTCCTCCAGCCACTTCTTCTGAACGCGCGGCGCCCTCTCAAAGCCCTCCTCTGATTGCTCATCTGCATGATCAGACCTCCGTCTTCGCTTCCGGATGCCTGGTGAAGCCGACTCCATGAATGCGTTGGAGAAGCGACCCATGCGAGCTCAAATCTTCCTCCCATGAACTGTCCCCCTGTCTGTTTGTTGCTTCTTGGAGTTGAGTGTGCCTTGCCTTGAGTATATCATCACTTTCGTCTGTCGGGATGGGTGATGAGGTGGACACCATCCGGAAGCAGCGGCTGGCGCAGATGCAGCAGATGCAGCACCAACAACAGGTCAGGGAAGCAGTGAGTGCAGGACAGACAGACAGACAGACAGACAGACTTTCAAATGCTCTACAAGAGATGGGTCATCTGTGTCGGTTGTGGTTGTGGTTTTGTCTGTATCATGCTTGCAGAGGGCTGACCACCAGCAGCAGCAGCAGCAGCAGCAGCAGAGGGAGTAGGCGGATAGGTCAAGACGTAGAGATGGATGGATGCGTGACATCATATGTTGCTCGCAGGGAGGCCGAGGAGCGGCGGCGAGTGATTCTGAGGGCGGTGCTCGAACCTGACGCAGCAGAACGACGTACGCGTGCATCCACACACGCCTCACTGCCTGCGTGTGTGTGTGCCTGTGTCGCCATGGTGCTTTGCAGTGAACAGGATAGCGTTAGTGAAGCCTGACAAGGCCAGGCAGGTTGAGAACACAATACTCTCGGTAAGTGAATAATCAAGACACCCAGACACTCACACTGTGGTGTGTGTGTGTGTGTGTGTGTGTGTGCAGATGGCCCAGTCCGGCCGTTTAGCGGGCAAGGTCAGCGAGGATGCGCTCATCGGTCTCCTAGAGGTCAGCCAGCAACGACACTGCGGGAACACAGCACAGCAGAGCACAACCCCTCCCTCCCTCCCTCCCTGGCTCAGAAGGTGCAGGAGACCACTCAGAAGAACACGTCAGGCGTCAAGGTAGGTACCAGTGAACGAGGGATGCGGCTCGATGGATGCGCAGCGGGAGAGGGGGTCCGATCCGGCTGGCTGTTTGCTCTTGTTCCTTACGCTTCAGTGGAAACGGGACCGAGACTTTGCCGAAGACGACGACGACTTCTGATAGTATATAGCTACCTGGCTGGGCTGACTGATGGCGTGTCCTGGCAGTTGAGGGAGTGGTCGGTCACTCATGCCATGAATTAGCCTCCCAATACTGCCAGGCAGTCTATCGCTCCTGATGGATGGCCGGACTGATAGATGGCCGTGTGCTTTTTCCGTGCCCTTAGACAGACGTGTTGGTATCGCAGCTCTTGTAGACAGCTTTCGTCCCACTGTCTCGATGCATCTTGACAGAGACTTTGCCGTGATGGGATGGCCGTCGCGTACGACCCAGTCAGTGGTGTGGTGCTGCAGAGAATCGACGTCTGTCTGACATGCAAGAAATGCATTGATGTAGAGAAAAGGAGTCACACCACACCAACACCAGGTAGGTAGGTCATCCATCACGCAGGCACCACAGGGCCACCACACATCACGCCAAGCAGCCAGCCAGCCAGCCAGCCATGGAGGGTGTCTGAAAAACCACTCAGCAGCTGATTGATTCACCGATCGACCGACCATCTTTCACGTCACGCAACACGAGAGAGGAAGAGGAAGTCAGGGAGAGAGAGAGAGAGACAGAGAGAGGGAGGTAGGGAGGGGTAGGGAGGGAGGCATTTCAAAATGCTGACCGACTCGACTCAGGTAGATGGATTGACACCACACCGTGAGGCCTGCCATGACTGAAAGAGAAAGCCACACTCAAGACAAGACACGCACCCACACCGACCGGGCGCACACAACACAACACACGCATCCATCGCTCAACTCAACTAGGTAGGTAGGTAGCTCCCGCAGCCGTCCATCCATCCATCCATCCAGCCGCTCTATACACACGCACACCGAGGGAGGGAGGGAGGGAGGGAGGGAGGGAGAGGGTGGGAGGAAGGCAGGCCACTTGCTCTCACAGACGCGGAAAAAAATTGGATTGGGACGCCGAGGCCTCGCCACTCAACAAGCCTTTGACAACCAGACAACCAACCTTGAAGCGTGTAGGGTGATGTAGTGTGCTGTGAGAGAGAAAGAGATGTTACGGGCGGGAGAAATGAATGACAGTGCGAGTGTGTGTGTGTCAGAGAAAAAGTTGGCACCCAGCCAGCCTCTGTAAGCGTGTGCGCGCATCGATCACCGATCAAAAAGTCGTCTCTCTGCCTGCCTGGCTGCCTGAGAGGGCGAAGGGGCGGCGGAGGTGCGGCCGCGGACCACACACGTGTTTCTCTTACGCCATGCCCCCTCCCTCCCTCCCTCCCATTGCAGGCAGGCAGGCCTTCGCGCCTCGTTCGTTGGTGTCTGTCCATGGAAGCAGACAGTGTGGGCACCGCCCACGTACATCTGTACTGAGCGGGCCTCACTCATAATATCAGTCACCTCTCACGACGGACGGACAGCCGTACAAGCGACACATGGCATGGACAGACAGACAGACAGACAGCCGAGAGACGATCAGGGAAGGAAGCAAGGCAAGGCAAGGCACGTCAGGTCATGAAGGCAGGTCATCACAACGACTCAGTGATGTGGGCACGGACGCATCGCTCACACATGTACGGTACGGCAGCAACGGCATATGCGATGGATAAAGAATAGAATGCCCAGCCCCTCTCCCCTCCCCTCCCCCCCCACCCACACACACACACACACGCCCCTACCATGCAGATGCAGCAGACGCTGGTCGTGGTCTAGATGAAAAGGATGCAGACGGAGAAGGAGATGGCGAGAGTGGCGATCGTGATGGCGATCGTGATGGTTGTCTTGGTGTTGGTGTTTGTGTTGGTTGTTGTCTTGGTGATGGTCTTGATGATGATGAGGGCCATGACAGCACCCGGGACAGTACGCGTCTTGGGATAGAGAGCACTCGTTGTGGAAGGGACAGCACCCACCGCAGCCACCGCACGATGGACCACCACACTCGCGAGACAAGGGCAGGAAAGGAGGACAGCGACGGAGCACCAGAGCGGATGTAGGTCAGCCCGCGACGCTCCTTCTCTTCTGAAGATCACATCACCACACACCGCAGACAGACAGACAGACAGACACAGACAGATGAGGGACAGGCCAGAGTACCGGCAGGCGTACCACACACTACACTTACGACACGCACACACCACACACACACATACTCTCTCTGCCCCCCACACACATACTCACTCCCCTCACTCCACAGCATACCACCATCGCATACCACCGCATGGCATCTCATCCATCCACGCACACGGCCTGCCGTGGTGATCGTGTGCATACCGTTGTTTCTAACCGATCTTCCTCTTGAGAGCCGCCAGGCGCTTGGCCAAGTCGTCCGCATGCTCGATCCCAGGCTGCGCGGGGTACCCGCTGCTGGGCCGCGGCGCTGAGCCGCCGGGGGCGGTACGGAACAAGTTGGTTGGCTCCGTTGCTGGCGAGCCCGACACCTGACAGACAGAGAGACCCACAGACAGACCAGGCTCCCTCCCAGTGGGAAGTGATGTGTGTGTGTGTGGGTGGGTGGGTGGTGAGCATACCACTTGGTTGACTCGTTGCCGCATTCGGATGGCCTTCATGCGCTCGTCGAGGTCCTCCTTCCTCTCGATGCCCGGCGTGGCGGGGTACCCACTGCTGGTGCGGGCGGGGGAGCTGGTGGCGCTGTAGCTGCTGCTGCTGCTCGGGGCAGAGTAGCTCGGCCTCTGACCAATCAAAGAAGAAGGAAAGGAACAACATACCAGTGGATGGTTGGGCGGGCCCGTGTCCTACCGAAGTCTGGCCCTTCTTGAGTGCGGCGAGGCGCATCTTGAGGTCGTCAGCGGTCTCGATGCCGGGCGTCACGGGGTAGCCCGAGGAGGTCCGGCCGCTGCTGGCCGCTGTGGACGGCGCGCTGTAGCTCGGCGCGCTGGATGACGCAGGCGCCGAGTAGCTCGACGGCGCTGAGTACCCTGAGTAGCTATTCTGCACACCACAGACGAGACACACACACACGCCCAGAGAGGGAGGTGGTTTCTCTCTCTCTGTCGGAGCAGATCAGATCTGTGTGTGGTGAATCGACTGACTCGACCGACCTACCGGTCGTGAAGGCTGGTTCTTCTTCAGAGCCGCCAGCCGCATCTTCAAATCATCGGCCGTCTCGACGCCTGGCGTCACGGGGTAGCCGCTGCTGGTGCGGGCCGAGGAGGGGGGAGGGCTGTAGCTGCTGCCGCTGCTCGGGGCACTGTAGCTCGGCCTCTGACCAATCAAGGACCAGCCACACACTCGTGGATTAGCGGATGGACGCCAAGCGCAACCTTACCGCAGGGCTGCCCCTCTTCATGGCGGCAAGGCGCTTGTTGAGCTCGTCGGCGGTCTCAATCATCATGTGCAAGTTGCCCGCTGCCGGCCTTGGCCGCTGCACACACACACACAACCACACGAAAGATCACAACCACAACAGGCACCAAAGCTCCCCCCATCACGTGCACGTCCAGATCTCTGCAGAGATCCCCTCCCTCCACTGCAGCTCTCCCTCTCCCTTCTCCCCTCTCACTCACTGACCAGTGCGATAAAGGGCGAGGGCATCTGCAGAAAGGCGGCGGTCTCAGAGGGAACCGCATTGAATGCGGCTGCCCCGGACAAAGCGGAGCTGAGGCTGAATAGAACCAGCATCATTCTGAACTGAATGAAGCCACGCCGCGCGGGCAGTGGGGGGGTGAGGAAGGGTGCAAGGAAGAGCTGACGGATCCGCTGTTGCAGGCAGGTCCGTGGGGTGTGCAGATCTCTGGGTGGGACGAACGAACGTAGTCCCCAAGCCTCTCGGTCACTGGCGCCAGCCAATCAGATAAACCCTAAAGCCCCACCGGAACCCTAGACCCCAACCAAATTATCGATGAGTCACGTGGGCCTCTGCCTTTCGTGAGCGGGACTGATCTTCCGAACTAACCTCTCATCTGTATCATCCATCGGCCATCAGAAGGGCAAACTTTACCGATTCATTACCTAGTAGGACGCCAGGGATGTGGCTAGTATGTATCGGCAGATGGATGCAGTGAGGAGGAGGTGCGGCGCATGTGGCCGTCCGTGTGAGTGGGTAGGTTAGGTAGACAGATGGGTTGGAATGATTGGAGTTGACCGACCGATGAGATGAAGAAGCTCTTCTCCGGTAAGCACACCACACACGCAGGACAGGAGCCATCCATGGATGGATGGCATGCATTGAATGGAATGAATGGACCACACACACACGTATCTGACTCCACACATTTCATTTCATTTCAGACAGGCAGGCAGGCAGCCATGAGTATGTCTGTATGGATGGTGTGCATCTTTCTATTTTTCCCCTGCCTGTCCGGGATTGGTTCGTATGCGTGTGCGTGTGTGCCTTCTTTCCTTCAGTCGGCCCTCAGCTACTCGGCAGTGGCCCAGCCCTCTTCGCATGGCAGCCCTCTGGCCCCCTCCTCGCCACCACCGGCCCCTCCGGCCGTGCAGTCTTCCTATTCGACCGCCACGGCACCCAAGTTCGAGAGATCTCCCTCCCCAGCAGCACCGCGCCCGTGCTGGCGCTCGATTGGGACTGTGAGGGGGAGGTGCTGGCCATCGTGCAGAAAGGCGACACCGTGGTGCACCTCTGGTGGTCTGACACGGCGGCCGGGGGCAGGCTGGAGACGCTCGAGACCCACAGCAAGGAGGTGTCCTTCATCAGGTGGGCGAGCCGCTCGCCGGTGCTGGCCGTGGGCACGGTCAAGGGCGCCCTGGTGCTCTACAACAAGCGCACCAGGCGGAAAGAGGTCATCGTGGGCAAGCACTCGAAGCGCATCACTACTGGGTGCTGGAGCCAGTCGTCGGACCTGCTGGCGCTGGCCGGGGAGGATCGGTATGTGACCATCAGCACGGCTGAGGGCCAGAATGTCGAGCAGGTGTCCGTTAAGGGCGAGCCGGCATCGCTGCAGTTCGGTGGCAATGGAGGTGGTGGTGGTGGGGCGGGGGAGGGGCGCGTGTCGTTGGTGCTGTCTGGCCAGTCTTTGTTTCTGCTGAGCCTGAGCGACGTCGAGCGGCCGCTAGAGCTGGCCTTCCAGACCAAATATGGCGCGATCAAGGGGTGCGGGGCGGGCGGTGGGTGTGAGGCCATTGCCCTCTCTCACACACTCGTGTGTGTGTGTGTGTATGTTTGGTAGGTACGAGTGGTTCGGTGAGTCGATGCTGCTTGTGGGGTTCAGCCACGGCTATGTGGTGGTGCTTTCGACCAAGGCCGCCAATGAAATGTCGGAGGAGCTGCACTCCACCAGGGCACACACAGGCGCCAACAGCCTCGACAAACTCTGCTGCAACCACTCGCTGCAAAAAGCCGCCACGGCAGGTACACACACACACACACACCGAAATGGTCGGTGGTCGGTGTGGCCGCATATATCGCTGTGTGTCCAGGTGAGGGTGTGGTGAAGATGTGGAGCATGAAGGACTGGCGTGAGATCAAACACGAGCGCCTGGAGCTGGCCGCCATGCAGGGCGGCGGCAAAGGGCAGCAGACCCAGCCGTCCGTGGCGGTGACGGGCCTGCAGTGGAGCAAAGACGGGCAGTTCCTCACCATCGCAACCAACACAGGCCAGTCGGCCACACGGCATTGACACCGGGGGTCGTGCGGACGCATTTGTGTGTGTGTGGGGGGGGGGG